TTATTACAGGGAGACTGGAGACAGGGAATAATCACATGGCTCTGTCCACACTGTGAAATGGCACTGAGAAACTACTGGGAAGTGTCAAAACTAGAATAAGGCTGGAGAAGTGGCTCAGTGGTCGAGTGCCCCTGAGTTCAATTCTTGGCCCCCCCCCCCCCCCCCCCCCCAAAAAAAAAAAAAGAAAGAAATTAGTCCTGGTACACTGGCAAGTGAGTTTTTTCTTTGGAGGGATGTGAAAGCAGCTTTTGCTCTTCCAAAGCCTTAGTGTCTTTATTACAGGGAGACTGGAGACAGGGAATAATCACATGGCTCTGTCCACACTGTGAAATGGCACTGAGAAACTACTGGGAAGTGTCAAAACTAGATAGGCCTTAGCCTGGAGAGTCATCTACTTAATCTGACAAGAATCCTGCTCACCAACCGGGCATGGTAGCACACGCCTATCCCAGCCACTCTGGGATTACAATGTCAAGGCCAGCTTGGGCAATTTAGCAAGACCCTGTCTTTTATTTTAAAAAGTAAAAATAGGGCTAGGACTGGAGCTTAATGGTAGAGCACTCGCCTGGCATTCGTGAGGCACTGGGTTCGATCCTCAGCACCACATAAAAATAAATAAAGGTACTGTGTCCGCCTACGACTAAAACAAATATATATATACAAAAAAAAAGTAAAAATAAAGTAGCTTAGGGGTAGAGCACTTGCCTAGCATGCTCATAGTTCTGGGTTCAATCCCTAGCACCATCAAAAAGAAAAAACTCCCACTAACTCAATGAAGGATATAGTTCCCTAGGAACACGGAATGCTTGACAGTAAATGGCCCTCAGCTATAGCACCTTAGAGAAGCTGCCTTAACTGGAAAAAAAAAGCAAAAAAAGTGTTTGACCAAGTTATGTCTCCTTCCATGTGCAGCTTATATACAAAGACTAACAGGTGTGAAGTTTATATTGGCCTCCTTGTCCCAGATGGGAAACTCTGAAGGGTCATCCCAGCTTTAATACCCCTTGCAGGGTTGGCTCAGACCTTTATTGGGACTTGCAGCTCAAATCTTGCACATCCTGCCCCCTTTTCCCTTCTGCTCCCTAGGTGTGGATCCCATGGGTCCAAGAAGCCTC